CAATATTTTCTCCAGTAAGATATGGGAGGAAGATCACTACTTCCATTCTCTGTCCTTCGGCTTGTCACAAGAGACCATCCAGACAGAAACCCAATATTTTTACTGTTGCCTTTTTGTTACATTTGTTGCATTTGTGCTGATAAATAAATAAAGGGAGACTAGTATAGATCTATTTCAAGCTATTTAGCTCTCATCAGCTAGCCATACCCTTACTGGGAACTATAAATAGATACCTTTCATCCTGGCTTGGCTGATAAGGAGTCGAACTCTGTGGCTTAGTGGTTAACACATCTGCCTAAGATGCAATACAGCACAGGTTCGAATCCCAGTAAGGGTATGGCTAGCTGATGAGAGGTAAATAGCTTGAAATAGATCTATACTAGTCTCCCTTTATTTATTTATTTATCAGCACAAATACAACATATAGGGGAAAGGGTATCATGCATATAATTCAAACTAATTGGAGGCTGTAATTGCAGGCCTGATAAGCAAGGGAGCCATGGTGGAGGATAGCTCGGAAAGGCTCTCTGGAGCAGTACTGACTCTATGCCCTGCGTAATGGTCTCAGCGATAATGGTACCCCATTTCTGAGAGAGACCAGGGCCTGGATACTCCTCAGAGTGGAGACTCGCTGCTGTGGAAGTAAAGGTTGCTGATGGGGCAGAAGGCCTAGTAGCAGAAGCAGATTCCAAAGTTGCAGATGGTAATCAAGAGAGAAGAGCAAAATCCTCCTCATATAAGAAGCTGCCTGAAATGGATGCATTTCATTGGGATCATTAGGTGACCAATTTAGTTGACTATCTTCCAGAATCTGGGAGGGTCTGTCTCCAAAGGGCGGGAGATCTCAGGCCTGCTCAGTGGAATACTGGAGGCCCTAGCTGCTTCTGCTTGTCTCTGGACCTTGGGAGAATTGTTTTTCCAATGCCCTTTCCCTCCTCTTGGCATCCTTTTCAGAAGCTGATGAGGCCCTTCTTGAAACATGGGGCTTGAGAAATGTCTGAAGGCTCCCTTGAAGAAGACCTCTGTTGTCTGGGGAAAAGGTTCAATTGGGCTGCTGCTTGCAGGCTAGGAATGCCATTTTGAAAATGACCATTAGTGCTCTTGAAACTTTTTCCACTCTAGCAGCAATTCAAAAGTGGGACAAAAACCAAACCCCTTCAAAGCAATTGCTGGCCATTAATCAGAATCTAATTTTGCCTGCACGTTAACAACACGAAGGGGACTGCAAAAAACTCACTGCGATGCCAGCAACAGGAAAAAAGGTGCGAAACCAGCAACGTGGTTTGCAATCACCTCAGCAATATGTAGCCTGCAGGATCCCGTCTAAGAAGCACCCTGAAACAACGATCCTAGTTAGCGCAGAGATGCCTGCAACTAAAGGGGCAGGCTGTGGAGGCTTAAAAACTCTAACAGAGTGAAGTGCAACTAAATTAAGCTGTTGCTTTCATGCGGCGCTAAAAAGCAGCGTCAGCGCTCCCCCTCCAAGTCCTTTGAAGCCTCCAAATTCAATCCTGGTGAAGCAATAACTTCAAACGCCGCCATGCTGAATCTTAGTGGGGGAAGAGCCCCCACCCCCACTCAAAATTGTCCTTTTGTTTCTCTCCTTCGTTATTTAAAGCACTAATTAGAAGAATCCAAGTATGGATAATGAGTAAAATGTGTCTCTCTAGCCAGACTGAAAAGAAAAACTGAGATCAGCCGAGAGGAAGAGGTGTGGCCAAAGGTTTTCACTTCTCAATCTCTGGCTAAATAGACAGAAGATAGCCCATGCTTGGACTCTCCAAACACCACACACCTTTTAGCCCACCTCACAATGTTTCCACTAAAAAGCATTGCTACCATGTATGAAAACTCTATCTTATGGAGACAAATGTTATATACTGTATTTTTCGGAGTATAAGACGCACCTTTTCCCCTCAAAAAAGAGGCTAAAAATTGGGAGCATCTTATACACTGAATACAGCATTTTTTGCCTCCTGAAACTCCACCCCTTCACCAAAATGGCCGTGCATAGCCTTTAGGAGGCTTTCAGAGTGCTCCTAGGGGCTGGAGAGGGCAGAAATAAGCAGAAAAACGGGCCTTTTTTTTTTGCTCAATTCCCCCCCCCCAGTTTCCAGGACCACTCTATAAGCCTCCTAAAAGCTATGCATGCCTGTTTTTTACCCCCCTCCCCAGAAGCACTCTACAAGCCTCCTAAAGGCTATTCATGCCCTTTTTTTAAAAAAAAAAAAAACCAGACCTGATTTTGTGAAAAACAGGCCATTTTTGGGAGGTCTGCAGAGTGCAAAAACTTTTTTTGAAATTTGCCTCTTCAAAATCTTGTTGTGTCTTATACTCTGAAAAATATGGTAATACATTTTCAAATCATCATCTAATATTGTAACTATCAAACAATATCTGAAGTTTATCTTCCCCATTAGACAAACATGAAGGATTTCAAAATAAAAGGAATTTTCTCCCATTAAAATAGTAAAAAGAATAGTCCTTTTAAAATAATCCTACCATTTCCAATTCTTGATGTTTCTTTCTAAAAGTCTATCAAATGCACAATATTTATCTCAAAAAAAGAAATATACAGTAAATTTGAAGTATAGAATTTCAGTTAAAACAACCTATAAGTAATTCAATCTCTAGAGATTTTTTTAAAAGGAAGATGAGTATAAGAATAAAGGATTATCATTTGGGGAAATTATGTTTTAAATTCAATTTCTCAGGGATAAACATTCCATTTATTCCAAGAAACTGAAGTTTAATAAAAACCTGTATAGATACAGATAGTCAAAATCTGTATAGATATGGAATCTATTCTCTACTCTCCCCTATTAAAACCAAGGTAAGATTGTCAAGTGTTCTGGGAATAGGAACCTACTGATTCCCATGACAACTTCACCTAAGAAGGAACTGGGACACCTCAACTAATTCAGAAGTTATACTGAGCTGCCTGGAAGAGATAAATGACCAAAGCAGCAGACTCCAAAAGTTTGCACCTCAAATTATATGTAAAATCGATGGATGCACGTCCAAGAAAGAATGTAATGAAAAATTAAACTTCACCTTTTAATTCAGATAATTACACATATTTTTATTTTGCATCAGCTCCAGTGATTCTTCTTGTATACATTACTGTTCAGTTTCCAGAACCAAAATACTCCTTGCTTTACTTGAAACCAGGTAGTGCCACCAAGTGGTAGTCATAATCTGCATTCAACAGACAATACCACTAAAATCAAAACTCACTTCTGCAGACTGAAAGTGTTCACTATCAATCATGAAATAAATGGAATTATTAGGAATGCAAATACTTAAAAGTAGGTGGATAAGATTCAGACATTACAAAAATCATTTTTAATTCAATATTAATTTTAACGTTTTTAATTTAAACCACTGTGGCTATTATTTTACTTACCACTATTTATAATGCTGAAATAAATGATCTAGGAATTTACATGGAAAATGGATTTGAAGCAAAAAAATGTTGTAGGTTGCACTGAATGGAATATGCTTGCTTTAACGGTTGACAATAAAGATGCCAGAAAAATATACATTTTTATTAAAAAGCTACCACAATGACTTTGTGGTGATGACATGGCACAATTTGTTTGCAGCATCTTGATGGTTTCTTAACACAAACAAGTGTTTTTCTTGCATATAGCAACTGCTGTGCATCCGGGTAAAACTGAAGCTTCATTAAAGAGGCTTGACAGATACAATGATCATGGTCATATCCCCTTTGAAGCATCTTTTCATCTCTGGATTCAAATAGTCTTAAAATACTAGTATACTGCTTACTATTACTGTAAGCAGTAATAGTAAAATAACAGTCTTGTGAGAGCGAGTTTGTGCAGTGGTTAAGATACCAAGTTACAAACTATATTGAGTCCCACCTTAAGCACAAAGCCAGCTGGGTCACTCTCTCTAAACCTTAGGAAGGAGGCAATGGCAGACCACTTCCAAAATCTTGCCATGAACATCACAGGGACTTGTTGAGGCAATTGCTAGGCGTCAACACTGAAGGCACTGAAAAAAAGAATTACTACCCCTCAAAATTGTATTATATGGTAATTGGAGCTACTCTTTAGTCACAGCACAGTTTTTCAGCATTTGAATCACTCAGCAATCTATTCTCACACAGAAATAAGGCCATGTTTAGCAGCAATGCCCTCCTTTACAAAACATTATCACTCTCAAAAGCTGGTTATGCCAGTGACTTGTTTAGGTGGCTCCACTACTGAAGTGGATGTATTCATTCTATCTCTACTTGGGATTTGTATATATTTTAGTTTTAATTAATCTCTATTTTCAATGTTGATTTTTATTTTTAAACTACATTTAATTATTAACTATTGTACACTGTCCAGAGTCATTTTCATGAGATGGGTAACTATATAAATTTGATTAATAAATAAATTACCCATGCTCTAGGATTAAGATACTCAAATTCATTCTCGCATAGAGAAATCTATTTTTTCTTTGCCGTGTGACTTAAATAAACCATAGTTGAAGTGATAATAACGCACAGGGAAAGTGCAGGCTAGGAAAATGTTTTTCATTTACCCTTAAGCATAATAGGAGATAAAGTTATATTTGAAGAAATAAAGCCACACTGTAGAAAGTAGAACACATTTTTTTATTTAAATGAAATCAAAGCTAGTCATAAACATGCAATAAATAGCACTTCAAAGCCAAATACCATTTCTAAAAAAGAGGAATGTGACATAAATGCATGTATAAGAGACAGAGACGTGCACTGTGTTGCAGATCCTATCTATCTTCCTTAATTTTACCTCCTCCCCAAATTACATGCCCAATGGCCTTTCTGTAATAAGTTTTCTTACTGGAAAATAGACCCAGACAGGCTGGTATGAGAATAAAACACTTTTATTTCCCATATTCATTTGGAAGGAGAGCCATTAGAGTTCCACAAAATCAATAACTCCTTAACACTCAAATTAAAATAGATATTTAAATATTAGATATTTAGTGAACTTTTCATTACTCACCAATGCTTGTTTTGTCCGTTTTTAAGCTTCAAGTCTGGATTCAAAACTCAGACAAGCCTATAATGGTAAATTAATGTTATCTATAATATTTTTTCAAAGCCATTATACCATATTTATTATTGAGAGCCAAACTATATAAGTAGTTAATTACTAATTTCTTCTTATAACAAATATACAGTATGTCATGCTAATACTTGTCCCTAAATTTTTATTGAAACTATTAATGATTCAATTTACTTTCAAGTTTTCTGATGTGTTCCTTCTTTAAGTTTTAAAAAGAAATGCTACTGTTACTTTATTTACCTTAGACGCCCTTGCTGTATACATGAAGAACGAGAGTAAAGTTAGCATTCTGTCTTAGCCACCATTCTGGCTTACAGAAGCTAGGTAAAATCACATCAAACACCCATTCAAATAGCACAGGTGCCCCCCAGGGCTGTGTGCTCTCTTCATTACAGGTAGTCCTCGATTTAACAACAATCGATCCTAACATTTTTGTTGTTAAATAAGACATTTGGTGAGTTTTGTCTCATTCTACAACCTTTCTTGCCACAGTTGTTAAGTGAATCTCAGTAGATAAATTAGTAACCCAGTTGTTAAGTGACTTCTCCATTAACTTTGCTTCTCATAAGGTAGCAAAAGGTGATCCCATGATCTTGGGACAAAGCAACCAGTTGCCAAGCATTTGAATTTTGATCACATGATTATAGGGATGTCGCAAAGCTTGTAACTGTGAAAAACTATCCTAAGTCACTTTTTTCAGTGCCGTTGTAATTTTGAACACTAAATGAACTGTTATTAAGTGGAGGACTACCTGTACTCTTTTCTCTCTATACCAATGACTGCATCTCCAATGATCACTTGGTTAAAATACTGAAGTTTTTAAATGATACAACAGTCACTGGTCTCATTCAAGACGGTGATGAGTCTGCATCAGACTGGAGCTTGAACTGGCCCAGTGGTGCAGCCAGAACAATCTGGAGCTGAACAATGTAAAACTGTAGAGATGAAACTGGACTTTAGGAGTCCTCCTCCTATTCCACCACCTCTTTCAATATTAGGCCACACAGTATCAACAATAGAGACCTTCAGGTTTCTGCATTCTCTAATCTTCCAGGATTTGAAATGGACGCCTAACATTAGAACCATCGTTAAAAAGGCACAACCAAGAATGTCCTTCCTTGTGTCACAGTAGAAAGTTCAGACTGCCCCAGGAGCTGCTGTTATAGTTCTACTGAGGAATTATTGAGTCTGTCATTTATACATGTCATTTATACCATTGTCATTGGTACAGCAACTAAACAGGACAGGTTCAGACTTCAATGGTTAGGACTGCAGAAAAAACAATTGCAACCAACCTGCTTTCCACTGAGGGCCTATATATTGCATAGGTCAGAAAAAGGCTGAGAAAGTATCTAAAGATCCCTTGCATCCTGGACATAAATTGTTTCAATCCATCTCCCCAGGACACTGCTATAGAGCATTGCATCATCTAGTTGTCCAAACAATTAGACACAATTGCAATTTTTCCCCTGGTGCCATAACCCTGCTGACACCTAATTACCATTGTATACTCTTATGTCTAAGCATATTTACCCACATATTATGACTGTATTAATATCTTTCTCATCTTTTATACTACCTTTTCCTATTGATACCCCTTATATTACCTTGTTTGTATGTTAACTTGTTGTTTGTATCTATATATTGCTTATATGCTTGTATGTATACTGATTATATCACAGGTCACCAATTAGTGGTCCGCAGCGCACCCGGGTGGACGACTATTCCGGGGTAACCAATGGGCCAGTCATGTGACTAGAGGTCTGAAATATGGGACCAGTCAGGCAGCTTGTGATGGGGCTGGAAATCTCCATCATAGAGGAAGGTATATGCAACTTGCAACATTGCAGGTGGTGAACGTGCAAGGAGTAGTGCAGCCCTTGCCAACCAGAAAGAGGTAATGGTGCTGTTACGGCAAGGGGGGGGGGGGTAGCAGCGCAGGCGTGCTAAAGCACCGGGTGCTGGCAACCCACAGTTCTTTCGTTCCCCCTGCTGTGGCTTCCTGTCAGCTGACTCCACCCCTCACCTTCCCCTTCCAGTCACTCCTCACCTTGGTCTGAGAAGAGAAGGGCAGGGGATGGAGATTCGCTCCATATTCCAGAGCGGAAGCAAAGCTTCATCTCTTGCTGGTTCTTGCGGCTGTTTCTGCCAACCCTTGTTGGTGTTCCACACACTTCAGTTGCACGGGGAGACACGTGACTTCCTCTCAGCCCCGAGACACTGGCCCGACACAGCCATTTCTTTTTGCCGCTGCTGTTGGTACCTCCATGGCCTGCCTGCTGCTTATGTAGCAGTTAAATTTAGCGCACTTCACAATGAATGAAACAATATCCCCTCCTCCTCCTGGAGCCCATTACAATACAGAGCATCGGCTACAGCCAGGTCAGGCCAGTGTCTCAGGGCGGAGAGCAGGTTGTGCATCTCCCCGAGCAACTGAGGTGCATCCAGCACCAATAAAGGCTGAAGAAGCACCCGTGAGACCCAGAGAGCACCGGAGAATCAGAATGAGATGAGACACACAAAGCGACAGACAAGGAGAAAGAGGAGAGAAATGAGAGAGAGGAGAGAGACACAAAGAAAAAGGGGGGAGAGAAATGAGAGAGACAGAAAGAGAGAAAGATGAGAGAGAGATATAGAAAGAGATGAGACACAGAGAGAGAGAGAGTCAAGGAGAGAGAGGAGAGAGATACAGAAATACAGAGAAGAGCGAGAAAAGAGATCCTGGTGTTTTGTTTTCTGTGGGAAACTGGTCCAAACTGATTTAGATTGCAGAAACAGGCAGCCAAGCTAAGTGCCTGAAGGACCCCATCCCGTCACTGGGAGTCCAGGCGCTTCAGTGAGCGGTGTACTGGATTCACATTAGTGGTCTGTGGGATTTAAAATTATGAATGTAGTGGTCCTTGGGGTCCAAAAGGTTGGTGACACGTGGATTATATTACCTTGTTGTTTATTCGTACATTAAGAATTTATGAACCAGAGACAAATTCCAATCAAACTTGGCCAATAAAATATACTATTCTTATTCTATTCTGTAACCTGGACAGAAAAGGTTTCTCCCTGATAACAGTAAAAGCCTAGGGAATGGTCCTACAGAGTAAACGTATACTGTACAAGTTTATATTTGCTCAGCCACAGGTCCACAGGCTTTTTGTCAACAGATTGGAACATAAATTTTACAGATGGGTCATTCTTTGCTATAAGTAATTTTAATCAGTAGTTATTAATTTAATTTAAGATTAATTTTTTTTGGCCTTTAACTGGATACAGCTTATGACCAATACACATACAGATGTATCTGTACAAAATGTATGTAAACATTTCATATGCACACAATTCTCTGTGTATGTGCATGTATGTGCGCACACAAGTCTAACAAGTAGGAAAGCTGGGCAGCATACAGAATGGGTGTTGGTCTTACCTGGATGCTACCTCCACCATTCTCTTGGCAGTGGAGATAGTATCCAGGAATGGATTAACTCCACCCAGTATCCAATTGGACTGAGTCTACAATCTGTGATGATACGCCTTCTCTGGTAGCTGCTCCCAGCTTTTGACAAAGGCAGCACTGTGGACAGATATGTTAATTGACCATGCCTCTCCTCATTAGTCCAGAGCCGGACACCAATAAGGGTGGTGCTAGATGCTATCTCCACTGCCAAGATAAGGGTGTCTCAGGAAAGACCTATGCCCATTCTCCATAATTGGTGGAGATAGCATCCAGGAATGGGACATACCAAAGCCTGGCTTGTCCTTACGGGTGGGCCATTGTCTGGGCCGAGACCCCCTGATCTGTGCGCATATGTTGAAGAACTCTTTTGCCGAAAGTGTCCTCCACCAATACATATTTGTCTAATTTGTAATGACGAATAAATGGAGACAGAGAGGTCCAAGTGGCGGTCCGACAGACAACTCAATTAAGGTCTGTGGTAGCCCAGGCTGCGGTCGTGGCCACACTTCTGGTGGAATGAGACGTGATGGGTCTTGGTGGAAATAACAACTGCACATCGTAGGATTTTGCAATGCAGGCTGATACAATTACCCAGGCAATGACCGTTGGCTTACCTGAATGGTCGTTCTCTAGGCGCTACGGGAGTATCCAAGCATGGGTTAACTTCAGCTTGCTGCCCAAGGACTGAGTTTAAATCTTTAGTGTAGCTAAGCCTCCTGCTCCCTTTGGAGGTCAGTTTGAAAAACGAGGAGGTGAAGTCCAGAAGAATGTTGAAGAAGATGAACTATGTCTTCAAGGGAGGTGATTCGGCTCCGCCAGATTACCCCAGGCCAGGGTTGGACACTCCCGCAGTGCCTAGAGAATGACCATTCAGGTAAGCCAATGGTCATTCTCCTAGGCGCTGCTTGGAGTGTCCAAGCATGGGACATACCCAAGCTATATAGTCCCAGGGTGGGAAACAGAAACATTCCATTGTTCCGGAGCTGCTAAGACTCGCTGTAGGACCCTCCTTCCAAAGGAGGCCTCTGCTGCTGCAAAGGAGTCCAATTTATAGTTACGAACAAATGGGGATGGCGAGGTCCAAGTCGCTGCCCTGCATATCTCTTCGATGGGCACCTGTGTTGCCCATGTGGCCGAGGTCGCGGCACTCCTCATGGAATGAGCGATGATGTGAGGAGGAACTAGCCGGGCCTGATGTTCGTAGGCGAGCTTAATGCAGGCATGCCGCCAACGCCCAATAGTCGAAGAAGAAACCTTCCTGCCCATTGAGGTGGGCTGGAAAGAAATAAAGAAGGATTCGGACTTGCAAAAAGAGGCTGTCCTTATATATGCGTATTGCCCGTCGTACATCGAGTTTGTGCCAGACCCGGTCTCTGGGATGTCTGGAATGTGGGCAGAAATCAGGGAGAATCACCTCCTGTGACTGGAGGAACAAGGTGTTGACTTTAAGGGATGAAAGAGGGGTCAAACTGAAGAATGACCCTCTCCGGATGCACAACACAAAGGTCCTCCTTGATCGACAGGGCCGCCAATTCAGAGATTCTGC